AGGAAAGCGCAGCTCAAGCTCTCGGTAACCGAGTACTGCGCAATACAAGCTCTGGGTAACCGAGTACCGCGCAGCGCATTGTCAACGACGGAGTCGCACGATCAAGAACACAGACGCGATGTCTACTCCCGACCGCGCACCACCTTCGCTACGGGCAATGGATAACCTCGTCGAGAATTTCGAGGTAGTCGACCACGAGTCGGATACTCCTTTCCCAGGATGGATAGAAGAAAAGGGCGAGGTGCGCCAGTGGTGCAACGTCAGCCCTGCTCGAACCATGCGGACGCCGTGTCCGATTCTCGAACTCTCGACTTCCGGGGAAAGTGGTGTCACTACCAATGACCCCGACGAGGCACAGAAGCAGCACCTGGATGCTGTCCGCAGGTCGGCTATCATACGCGCGCATCCACGGTCGGTCCTTGACCCTCGTGTGAAATACGGCTTCCACTCGGCAGACTCCGCTACCGAATCAAAGGTCCCGATCACTCAAACGTTGAACGTGTTCGTGTTCGACCCCCCCCGGCCATTACCCAAGCTGAGTTTGACGAACAAAATCTCTTGGGCTCGCATCATGGTTTGTCAGGAGATCCCGGTGGATACGTACCGCACTCGACATTTTGCTCAAGAAAGGGGCGCTCCATGGACGATTCCCGTGGAGCTCGCTCCTGGAAAAACCGCTACAGATGCCGAAGAGCTCTTTGAGCGATGGGTGCAGCGGCATTGAATAAATTTCAGCTGTACAACTTTTCGTTAAGCCACACGAAGGAGGACGCGCGCGTGAATCACCATCTTCGGTTTGAGTTTGCCAAACTCAAGGCGCGTTTCCTTCGGACTGTCGCCCTGCGACGTATGGGTAAATATCACGCTCTTGCGAGCTCTGTGGTCTCTCAAACGGGTGGATCTGCGACCGCATCAGCTTAGGTCATTGCTTGAGCTCAGCTCATGACCCTTCGGCTTCCCTGGCTATTGCCGAGAGGCCTGGTACGTATGACGACGCGAAACGTCAAGATCCCTCCGATCACAAGCGTTCACGACATCTGGACAGCCTTGCCAAAGTGGCACTCCAAACTCCCACGAGTTCTCGAAGTCGGTGTTTTCCCAACAGATTGGATTTGACCCTGGCGATCACGTCGACCCACAAGACGTTCCACGTGATAATGGACACCACCATTCTTGTCGTGAAGAGTCGGCGGCAGACGATGACGACTGAAATGATCGCCATCCGGTGACTCGCCATGCTCTTCGAGCTTGGGGGCGAGGTCCGTCGTGATAGGAACTCCGCTGAGCATCATTCTGGGATCGCATACTGCTGCGCGGACGATTTAGAAAGCGTGGAGCACTTTGAGTACCGGCTGCCTTACGTTAAAGACTATCGCTCTCTGTTAGAGCAGCTCCTAGCCGTTCGCAGACAAATGCGTCGCTTCATGCGAAGAAGGAGCGTTTAGCCCCATAATAGATTGAGATCGTTGCACTCCACGCACAAAAACAGTTGCTGGTCTAGCTTCTGGGTCGTCGAGCGCCTGTGGGCGCCTCTCCGACGCCAAGCTTCCGCGATATTCTGCGCCGGATACCGGTACAGCTTGAGCAGCCCACATAAAATACAGGTTGGGTGCGCATCCGTTTCGGAAGCTTTAGCGTATACGCAAGGCCCCGCATGGCCACAACCTCGAAAGTTCATATAAATCGTTGACGGAGCTTTGTCTTAAGACAAAGAATGTTACATGGGTAGGGAGATTTTTAGCATCTCATAAAACCAGGTCTCCGATCTCAATGTTTCCACGATTTTTTATGCTTCTTCCCTCTGCATATTCCTTCTGCATGTCTTGACTTTCAGCCATCGCATCGCAAAGGTATTGTTAGACACTCAGTCTGGTAGACAGGAAGTCGTTGATTTCATCACAAACAGTGAGAGAGATAGCCGCTCAGCTATTCCCCACACAAATCCTTCACGTGAAGCCGATGAATGAATGCACTGCATTGTTTAGAGCGAACCCTACAATAGGCAAAATGGCGCTCCAGCGCTTCGGAGTCTCAGCACAGATGCTGCGAAGGACGTCCTTGACGACGCGATTCACGCACTCAGTTTGACCATCGGTCTGCGGATGGTCCGCTGTTGATATACCCAGCATCTTGAAGATAGTCGACTTAGACTTCCTAGTGAAGCGTGGGCTCTTCCAATTGACTCCGGGAGTCCATGTTGTCTAAAGACACGATCCGCGAACAGCGCCGCCATACCCACACCGTCGATGGCGTCTGGAACCGTCGCAAGATGAGCCATCTAGTTCAAACGGTCGACAAAAGTAAGACGTCCGTGTTGCCCGGCGAGTCCATCGGTTGGCCATCCACAAAGTCTAAACTCATGGACTGCCAACACCTGGAGGGTACCGGTCAACTGACCAGTGGCGCCACCGCATTTAAAGAGGGTCCAACCCTTTGACACGTCTCACACGTGGTTCGCACATAGGTGCTCGTCCATTCGTACAGCTTGGGCCACCAGTAGTGGCAGCTCACCGCGCTGTACATCTTCTCACGACCGAGATGACTACTGAGTGGGGTGCCCTGGGCCTCATAGAGGTTTGGTTACTTCAAATCCTCATCGCGAGGAGCCACAATTCATGGCGTATCCGTCGAGTCGGTGATATGATAAAGTTACCCATTATTGAATGAATATCGTTGCAACCGTGCACGCAGTCGCGACGATAACTTATTGTCCGAGGCCCAAAACTCCTTGCTCTCGAGAGCCCGTAGCAGCGCTACGCACATATCATCACCCGCGTAAGCGGCGCGGATCAAATCTGCCACGGACGACGTCACTGTCGTGACATAAGTGAATTCCGGTCTGCGCGAAAACACATCAGCTAAAGCATTCTGCTTTCCCGGTTTATACTCCACCTTAAAGTTATATTATGCAAAGAATGAGAGCCCCCTGGTCATCCGCTGCGCGAGGTGAGGCAACTGAGTCACAGTGCGTAATGACGCATGATCTGTGTAGATCACAAAGGTCTTAGAACCAAGCACCATGAAGTTGACAAGTGCAAACTTAACGCAAGTAACTCCTTGTCGTGAACTAAATAGTTCGATTTTGAACAGCCGATGGCGAAGTCCGAAGCATCACAGACGACACTAATAGGACGATTGGGGTCTAGCAACGCCAGTATTGGTGCATGAAACAGGCTGTATTTAACCCTGTCAAAAGCCTTCCGATGCTCGATGTTCCATCACCGTTCCGCATCCTTCTCAAGGAGATTCGACAATGGCCGTGTCATTTCCGAATAATTTGCGCTATACTTGTGCAAGTAGTTGATGAGGCCAAGCCACTTGCGCATGTCCTATTGATTCTTTGAAATCGGCAGTCTACAGCCTTGACCTAAGCGGGATCCACTAGAAGGCCACGCTTTCCATATGCACCCTAAAATGGGGATTTCTCTGGCCCCAAAGATGAACTTGTCTGCATTAGCATACAGCTTATTCGTGCGCATGCGCTCGGCACCTCTCTTAAATGGACGATGGGGTTATCTACATCCGTTCCCCCCGTGCTCTGCACGACTGTGGACGAAAATGTCATCGAAGTATGTTTGTGCATATGCCCGGTTGGGCCTGAACAACTGCATCAAAAGAAGATTAAATGATGCTGAAGGATTTGAAAGCCCTTGGGGCATCACTAGCCGCTCCCAGCGCATGCCACTCGGAGGAATCACCGCTGTCAGCGGAATATCACTCGCTCTTATGAGTAATTGGAAGTATCCACTACCAATTCGAGTACACAGTACTTTGTTCAATCAACCAAGTTGTTCTGGCGAAAGTCATTCTTAAGAACCGGGGTCCGGTGGCAGCGTTTAGCTTATTGTAAGCGTGAACGATACACCATTTGCCGTCCGGCTTCCGGACACAAAACGTGGGTGTTGACTTGCTTTCACTCACCGCTCCTGCGTCGAGCTTCACACGATAGAAGGCGTCAATTACGTCAGTCAGCTCCTTGGAAAGAGGTCATTGGCGTGTAACGCAGTTTTTGGTCTCTGGAATAAGCGATCTCATGACGCACACCTCGGTCCGGAGGCAGGACCGATGTCGGGTCTTTGGAGACGACGTCTTTAAACTCCTTCACCAAAGGATAGTATGGAACCGAGGGATTTCTTATACGCTGAGCATCCTCTTGGTGTCCGCCAAGACACCTTCATCTATAAACGATGACAAGTAAATCTCCTCGTTCGATTGTATAACGAGCACTTCGGCTAAGTTGCCCGCCTTCAAGACACCACCGAAGTCTTCGAGGGACATTTGTTCAGCTCAAGATGAGCATCCACCGCGGGAATAGCGTCGAGAATGACGTCGCCGTCTTCCTCCCCCGTCACACCGTTGACGAGGGTGTATAGCTGTGGGCTGTGTCTACGGTAGACACATCCTGGGTCACGGTCGATGCCCTGTGTCTACCCGGCGTCATTGTTGCTTCTTCACAGAGGTTGTACGACTCGGCGAGATCAGTGTTCACACGCACTCAGCGTCGTCCAGTGTTGGCCAGCGGCCCCACTTCCTGCTTCACCGGGCCCTGATGTAATTAAAAACATCCGACGAAGAGTTGCTAGCTCCGCAGTCTTGGTTCAGAGGATTACGTGCCACTCCACGCGCAAATGAAGGGCCTTGCTCAAGATGCCTTGGACCTCATTCGGCTTTGCCACTCGTGGCATGCAGTGACTAAGAGCTACAGCGGTTGCCGTAGCTCTTTCGCTTAGACGAAGTATGTTTATGATCGGTGACCTTCGTTTTATACTCAGAACCAGTACGAGTGTAGCGGATCGCAATCCACATACTCCAAAAGTAATAACAACCTTAACGAAAGGCTAATTAAGACGTCCGTTCAAAACAGAATCTGTATTTCTCGGTTTGATTTGCAGCAAAGCTGCATATATATTTTCCTATCTCTACAGTAAAACTAATTAAATGTATAACTACTGCTAGACCAGCCGCAATCTGACTTCTTGTTTATGTGTAGCCAAATCATTGTGTGGTCACACCATCTTGTGTGACCCCGACCCTTCATACCAGGGCACGTAGAACATCGCTCTACTTACAGCTGTATCACTCAGACGAGTGGTGCAGCAGATGAAGAGGTTGATGGGCTGTCACTTTGACGTATGAATCATGCTTCGTACGTAGCAAAACCAGGCATGGGAGGCGCTCAAGACGGACGTTCGCTTATTTCATCTGGCTTAGAAGGTGCTGATGGAGTCAAGCAAATCAAATGTTTTAGAAAAACCTATCAATCGCTTATCCTTCGTGTTAGTGATATCACAACGCGAGTAGCAAGAGACCCAATCCGCGTGTTGATCAAAGTGTGGGTCATGAGACAATTTCGTGAAAGGTAAAAATGGCGGTCAAATGCTATTATAGCATTTCGAGACGAGACTGTGTTTTCCAAACCTAGTGCGCGAACTGTGTTTGTGTGGCAAGCTTCAGGTACTCAAGGGTCATACCTCATGGAAGGTGCGGGTCTACCAGAACGCCGCAGCTCTCAGAAAACGGTACTTATGAGGAGTGACTACCTGTAGGTTAAGAATGCACTCGCAACGTTTTTTTCTCTCGCGCTCAGTTTGCTCTCGGTTTCTCGCACGCAGGAGTTCCGCTTTAATGCGGCGAGCAACGTCAAAGGTTTGAAACCTGGATCATGGCGCGATGATGTAAGATCGAGTCGGCGACACTTGCGCTTGCAGTAGAGAAGATCGGCTTCTTGAGCCAGGACATCGTTGTATAATTCATAGTAGAAGACCAAGACAACTTCCGACAATTGAAGGAGGGTCCCAGTCTCGTGCAGCGGGGTCCTCATCGAATTTCTTATAGTGTCGGTCTTGAAGGCTGCGCCTTATGTGAGAGCTGTATGTTTTAGTGCACGAGAAGGGACTACCCGTGCTAGAATGCTTTGAGGGGCAGGCATGGTAAAGTGCAGAGGTATATAGCAAACTGATTGTCTTCGTTACCTTGGACGCTCTAGACTTCGCTCTTGATTGGAGCACACAAACTTTACCTCTGTGTGTTTGTTACCAGGGACTCTCAAAGTCAAAGACTACGCGCGGTAAACCCGTGGTATATGATATTTAGAGTATCAGAACAGCATTGACAATTTGAGCCAGAGAGACTTTAGGTCTCGCTCCTTGTAGTTAGCGTACGAGCCCAACCTCGAGCGTTTGTACGTTCAGGATGGAAGCTTTTAGTGTGCAAAGATCACGGCAACTCTGTGACGATCTCCTTTATTGGCCTTCACATTCCTTGCCGGGTTTGAAGTCACGCAGCACCGACCAAAATAAGTTAAAATTTTTGCAAGTTCTTATGTGACTCAGCCAGCGAATTGCGCGTGATGTACCATATGCAAAAGATGTGCGCGATCTCAATGCTGTCGGCTTCGCAATTGCGCGATTCTTCAAAATTACTATTAGAAGATGTAATGTTGGCGCCAGTAATGAAGCATTCATAGTTGTTTTGATGGTCGACGGTATTCTGTTATTGATACATGTTATAAAACTTGAACTTAATCGTCTGTGAGACTTTTATTGAGTACAGTAATGGAAATAAGCTTGAACAAATGTGTCGTATCATTACTTCTACGTTGACCTTAGTGCAAGCGCAAGACTAAACGCCTGAACGTTGAAGTCATTTTTCATATGCGAGCGTTGATGATGCGCGCGATGGCAGAGCAAAAATGATAGTCATATCTTCTTTATACAAGGATCTGACACCTTTTTCTCGACATGTGCTCCACCTGAGCATTTATCCAAAAGATGCCAGCAACTTGATTTGTGCTGCCAGGTAGAATGTAGTCGCGGTACTTATCGGCTCGATACTTTGACAGAGATCGTCAGGAATCCTTTCATCTACCAAGAACGATGTGGCATGCTCTACGGAAATGGTCTCTGACTTAGAATCTCCCAATGCTATAAGCAGCAGTGCAGCCTCCCCATATGCTGCTACTTGACCTTTCCATGGCAATGAGTACTCTGGATTCTCCATCTTGCATTGTGTCTCTCGTTCTCTTCTGGCTGTCGCCATTATATGCTTGTCCAGCTTACCATCCTTAGCGTTCGCAAGCAGATCATTTGCAAGAGTAATGTTAACTTCAGCGGGGTCTCTTTTGAAATATATGTCATCATGCACCAGTGATGCATCATGTTCAATAAACCCGTGAACGCTCAAGTCTGCAAGCGTAAGTTGTGGAGGCAATTGTTGTGTCAATCGCTCAGCCAGTAGCTTGTCGATGTTGAAAACGTGAAGTACAGCTTCACGTATTAGATACGGAGTAAGCGACTTGCCGTTGCGAGGCAGATACCCGTGGTTTGCTAATGAATTAAGTGCCGGACACGGACTGCGATGATTTGGGGCAGCGTTGGGAGGAGGGAAACCCGAGACATCGGCACCCACCGGACGAATATAGCGATGATCATCGACGTCAATTTCGCCTGCGGTGGATGGTTCAATGAATAACTCCTTTGCACAGAAGAAAAGAAGCGGCAGCACGAGCCGCATCTTTTAGTAAGTTTTGTATAATCAAAAAGATTCAGAAAGATTTGGCCACACGAATGGTATATTCTAACACACACATTGGTGTGGATAAATATCCAACCATGACATTAAGCACAATTCTACACACTGATTCGTTCAAAATACAATGCACGTGCGTACATTTGCCACCACTATCGGCACAAAGATGCGATACCAATGCAGCTATCAAATAGACTGCAATTATTGAATACGTCTGCATTTCCTAGTTGGGGATCAAGCAGTCCACGGCCGCAGTGGCTGCTGTAATCTTCTATCTGCTTTCTGCCCGTCATCAATCTTGCTTGTGATGGACCATATATGTGCTCGGCAATACTGGACCTTTCCATGTCTGAAGGATTCAGTGCAAGATCTATGGTGGCCTCACGTGGCGATAAAATATGTTAGGCGCCCCGCCGCTTGTAATGGTGAGCAGCATTGAATGCTTCAAGGATATTTAAAAGACGTGGAGGACGTATAAACAGCATCTTTCGCAACGTAGCTGGTGGCAATAGTGGAGCTGTGGGCGGTCTGACGCAAATTATTTTGTCAGCTTTCATTATTTGGGCGTTTCGCGAGACCGTCACTTAGTGCGTACTCGGGTGCTCGGCCGCGATAGCCAAAAGTTGGTACGGACGGTAATGTCTATCGACGCTTTGACGTGATGCACCGCTTTACCCTCTGCAATATATGCCGATGTTTCTTTGGTATGCATGCTAATTGTTGCAGAAAAAGAAATGGGCGCATTTGGTACGGGCGATACTCCGTTGAATACCCAGGTCTTACGGCACGTCATCGACTTTGTGCTTTTGCCCGGCGTGGACCTGACAGCATGGTTATTGTGATGGTTTGGTTGGAACCCGCATGTCGAAATTTAAATGCGTCTTGATACTCGGTGAAATTTTCCAGTTATTTAGTCATTCCAAGTACGTTTCGAACGTGGAAGATGTTGAAGGTCTTGTGTATCGGATGCCGTATTTTGAGACCGGGTCAGTCATACCGCGAATGTTATCCGGCGCTCCCGGGCGGCACAGTTATGAAAAGATACGCGCATTTGCATCCATATATTTGACCATTTAAGGCCTAAATGTTTTACGCCAGAGTAATGGCTGATGCATGATCCGCATACAAGCGAGCGGGTTATCCGACCTGTATAGGCGTTTCAGCTCGTATCATTTTACTCTAGACGTGAGTCCCTTGTACCTGATGTTATGTATTGTGTCGCCATTATTTATCGTTTAGTTTTACCGTCTGTATAATTGCGCTGGCTATGGCATAACAAGTTTAACATTCGTGAGTAAGGCAGCATTATGAAACATATCAGCTGCAATATATAGAGTGGGCTCAAGGAAATCCTAGTGACAAGAAGCGTCACATCCATCAAATTAATGATTGCTTTACCTGCTCTTTTCTAGATAGACCTGCGGTCCACAGGAGACGACTTCCATTGAAATGGACGTGGCAGAGAGAAGGTGAATTTGATCGTTTTTTATCTTGAAAGCTATCAGCTCATCGACTGAACTACCAGACGATTACATTAATTCGCTTTTCACCGCCATTAACATTGGAGCTTGTAGACGCTTCACTTGACAATGTCATAGCTATAGCATCTGTTCCTTCTTTCGTTGCCCGAATTTGGCAATGATAACGTCGAGTCCCTCGCCTGCATTGTGTATTTCGGACTAGGTGAAAATGAATCGTAGTCGGTGTACGAAAATATGAGGAGAATATGGACATCTCGTACCATCATCGTTGAGTACTTTTCGACAGTGAATTCTGCTTGTGTTTTGAGAAGTCAACGAAATTCTCTACAGACAATAAACCCATTTTCTTCATTATTATGAGTAGGGGCAGTATTTGACGTCCGTATGTATGGCAAAGCTTATGGCGATTGCGGCTGTGGCGTCTGATTTAATTTCTTGTGAGCAAGAAAACTTCGGCAGAGCACATTGATATATCGTAACGATTAGGTGGATCTAGTGGAGATAAACTCCTAAAAAGTATGACCACATTCGTCGTTGAAGCGGTTTCGGTGCTCATCAGAGCCACTTCCACTTGTGCGAATAATCCATTAGGTATTAAAATAATACATTAGGTATCAAAGTAATACCTAATGGATTTTCGCACAGCCTGAGTTGTGTAATGGGGTTACACGTACCCTTGTATGTGGACACAAGTTGGTGTAATCACACAATGGTGTGGCTACACCGTAACAAGAAGCCACTAATTGCCAGTAGTAATGCATATTTAGTAGGTCTTACTATATTAGTTAGGTATTACTATATAAATAAGGAAAACCTAAGGTTTTGGATATTGGCAAAATAAAATAATTAAACACAGTTTCGATTTTGACCGAAAGAGTCTCTTCACCTTGGCTAAGGTTTAAAGTACTCTTTGAGGCAGCAGATTGCAATTCGTTGTACTCGTACTGGTTCTTGTAAAGAACGTAAAGTCGGTGACCTTAGCTTAGCTTCCTCTAAGCAAAGCTGCACTCGGTAGCACTCGTAGTCAATCTACGCCGGAGTCATTACGACTGATCCTCTGTGAGGATGGATCATTACTCCTATTCGCTCCAGGGCATACAGAATGCGCTTAATAATTTGATGTCTCTGCTGGGCCCTGATGGTGTGGAGCACCTTGTTTCACAAGGGTCTCAAGCGATAAAGGCACGCCAAGGGGCGTTTTCGAGCTATGAAAATGCTCTGCTAGAGCCCATAGCAGAAACTGTCGGCATCGACTGCGTCCATGACGCCACCGTCGACGATGGATGGCTCCTCTTGACCTAGGTCGCTCGTGGTGAGCGTTATTCGAGGGTAAGGATGAAAGAATATTCTGCTCTGGGTAAGAGAGGCCGAGATGGATATGGTATCCGCCATGCTCCAGAACGAGCAACAGCGCGTGGCGCTAGCTTTCTTCAAGCTCGGGGGTCGAAAGCGAGGGCATTAACGTGCGGTGCATCAATTAAAACTGTGTACCCCTACTGGAAGGAGCTGAAGCGTCAGCTTCTGCTACTATTCTCGCCGACTAACCAGGCCTATCGCATACGATCGCGTTTCCTTGCGTCCCGACAGGGCAAGAAGGAGTTGATGAGCTTTGTCCAAGAGTTGAGAATTATCATTGCCGGAACGGCAGCCGATGCTCTTCCCGAAGCAGCCGCAGTGACCGTCTTTATAGAGGGCCTCCGCACTGGCGTGGCCAGAATGGAAGTCTTTCGTGTGCATCCGTCTTTTTTTGAAATGCGGTGAGCGTGGCATTGAATACCGTGTTCATGTTCAAGTCGGCACGACTTGGCTGTAATGCACATCCTCAGAGCTCGTCGAGCGGGCCTGAGTCGATGGATATCAGCTATGGTGAGAGAGAGAAGGGAGAGCTCCGAGCTGCCGAGCAGCGTTTAAACACCCGACGATGTTTTGATTGTAGAGACATTCGTCACCTTCGTACTGGTTGTCCCCTGCGCAAGACGCGTAAAGGCTCATCAAACCGACGTCCCGCTTCTAACCAGTCTGGGTTTTCACGGGAAAACAACGAAAGCCAGATATCGCGGGGCGCCCTACTGGAGAAGAACCGAGTTCTGTTGTGCCTCAAAGAGGTCGAGGGTAGCAGGGCCCCGTCTTAAAGATATCCGTGCTCTTGAATACGGAACGTGTATGCAATCCGGGCTTGCTGGTCGTAAAAGCGACCGTGAAGGCCTTTAAGAAGCCATGTAATATCCTTATCGATTTCTTGGCGTCGGGCAAGCATGTTCGACGCTCCACGATCGAAGGAAGTCAGCTGTATGCTGAGGCGCTGAAAGCGCGGTTGAGTGACACGTTACTGATCGCTTTGCGATGGGGACTTGTGTCACTGTGCCGAGGGCCGCTGTGGACTTCGGTATCAAGTTTCTTGACTTTGATAGCGTGGAACGCTGCCTAGTCTTAGACTTGGATGCATGGCATGACCTAATCTGAGGTATGGGTTTGTTTGGAACACGATTAGCTATGGATTGTTGAAGGTCGGAGACGGCTGATGGAGCTTTGGTGAGTCACTAACCCACCTCTGCTAGAAGCAGAAGCGCTATTGGCGCGGGCACTGGACCGGGACGTTCATTGTTCCGAAATATCGAAGTATCCGAATTTATGAACACCAAAGATGTTTTGGACAGGAGTCCCGAGCGTTGCTCGCGGACTAAAATTTGAGTGGCACGTAACCAACTGAGCGCTGCTCAAGTATTGGAGCAATCGCTGCATATCAAGAGTGGCATTATCGGCCAAGGACCGAGGCATCTAGGGCGAGACCTCAGTGATGCACATGGAGTGGCACATCAGCCACTGAGCACTGCTCACGTTACGAAGCAGTTGCTGCATACCAAGAGCGGCATGGTCGGACGAGGTCCGAGGCATCGTGGGAGGCTTTTGATGCACGTGGAGTGGCATGTTATTCACAGGACGATGACCGCGGAAAAAGTAGATTTCCGTCGGACGTTGTTTAACATAACATCATGGCTCCAATGGAGCAGAGAGTGAAGACACTGGACAACGCCGAGTGCGTACGTCCACTGGTCTCGATGAGACGAAACCTCCATAGAGAGGAGACGGCGAAGCCGTATGATATTTGCAAGACGCAGAGCGTTCACACTGACCCAGGGTGTGTCTACCGTAGGCGATAGCGCACAGCGATATACCCTTGTCAACGGTATGACGGGAGAGGAAGACGGCGACGTTACCCTCGATGCTATTTCCGCGGTGAATGGAGGGGACTGACATCTGCTAGCCGTTCGGCTGTTCTTGTACACCAAGCCCTTAGCCATAGGATGACGACGTCAGCGGGACACAAGGATTTACAAGCCCGTGGAACGGCGTGTAGCCGTGGATAAATACACTGCAATGTTCAAAGCGAACCCTATGAGTGGCACGGCAGTCCAGCACTGTGGCGTCTCAGCGCAGACGCTGCGAAGAACGTCTTCAACGACGGGATTCACACGCTCAGTTTGACCATCGGTCTGCGGATTG